GTGAGGTGCTCTGCTAGCAGTTGAGGTGTGAACACCAAGGGAGGAGAAACTGCTTCTGTAGTTGGATAGCCATGGCTAGTCTCAAAGGTGCCACAGGACCCTCTGTTGCTTTTGACAGATTCAGACTAACACGGCTACCCCTCTGATACAAGACATTTGTGTGTTTCTTTTGCACATTTTGTACTTAGGACAGAATTATGCCCCTGGATACCAGCATCAAATGCCTACCCAGCATAGATTGGAAACTTTGACCCTGGCGTATTGAACAAATATTTAGGGCCATAGTGTCAGGCTAGAGTAAATCAGTGTAGCTCTGCTTACATCCCCTCAGACTCTGGCCCTACCAAAGCTCCCCATTCACACAAGCATATGGGCTACATCCTCAATTGGTGTAAACAGAACCACACTGATTTACACCAGCTCAGGATCTGGCTCTCCACACCCCAGGGAAGCTATGTTAAACCATACCACTTACTGTAACAGTCGCTCACCCACCAGTCCCACTTACTGTAACAGTCGCTCACCCACCAGTCCCACTCACACTGGTAATTCCATTGACTTGAGAAGGGACGATCTGCGTGAGCAAGGGATGCTTGGGTAAGTAATGCTTGAAGGATCAGGCCGACCAAAGGCATACACGTAGGGCCCAATCCTGCAAAGCGTCCACCCCAGCTGAAATCCCTGAGCTGCGAGCAATGAGCACCTTGCAATCCTCGGTTAGCTAGAGAGTTGGACCAGGCCCGATGGAAGTAAAGGGCAGCCTTTCCTTGACATCTTTTTTACTAATCCCTGCTGCTCTGCACAGCCCCATTGAAACCCACGGTTCCCTGCAGTATGTGCTACACAGAGCAGTGGGACACCCTTTTAAATCCCAACCCTGAAATCCAATGGCGGTTCTGGATGCCCAGGGAACGCATGGCTGGGCCCTATACCGTTTACACTCATTGCAGACAACTAATTTGTAAGAACTCCCCCCCTCCAGTCCCTATTTCCTTTCTCCGTGACTCAGACCCCACTTGGCATCTGGGGCAGGCACACACAGGAGTTGCATAGGAAAGGAAAGCTACACCCTATTATTTAGGAGACGACGAAGGTCCAAGCCCCATTTAATCAATGACAGCTTAGGATCTGCTCCTTTGCTGCCCGGCGTTAATTTACACAACGTAACACCTAATCAAACCCTGCTTTTATTCTCCAATTGGCTGTGGTTATTATCCAAACCCTCCAGCCAGAGAGAGACATAAAAGATGCATTTGCAGATTTTGAAAATTAAAGCCATCTATACCGCCGGTGGGGAGGATCAGCTTATTTGGTTGCTTAATGAAATATAAAGATTATTTTAACCAATGTAAGCACAATTCGACAACTTGTGAAACCCAGCGGTGGCTTGATGAATGGCCTTCTCAATTTACAAAAAAATTGCTGTATGGGGTCTTTTAAATATTTAATGTATTCCGTTTCGGAATGTGCATAGAGGTAAATGACAACGAAAGCGGGTCTACGTGCGAGCTCAGTTAACTCACGTCTGCTAGATTAAATAGTCTATGAACATAGAACACCGATATCCCGGCCGGCTCTTTCATATTATTCTGTCTACCACTCTGTATTTACTGTGCACCATAACAAAGAAGTTACATCTGTCATCTGCCAATGCAGTATTCCAGACAGTGGTTGAGAAAACTGGAACATCTAGTGACTGGTTTCACGTGACTTTAACTATTTGTAAATCTCCTTTTTCAAATGTATGCCTTTTCTTCCAGGCCAGCAAGAAGACTTTAACACAGAGGAAAGCCTTCTAACCACCAAATAAATAGAAATCTTACCAAAGAAAATGCTTTCCCATTGGAAAAAGTGGGCCTTTATGGAGTCTCACATAAGAATGGCCATACTGGGTCAGACCAATGGTCCATTTAGCCCAGTATCCTGCCTTCCGACAGTGACCAATGCCAGGTGCTTCAGAGGGAATGAACAGAACAGGCAGCCATCAAGTGATCCATCCCCTGTCGCCCATTCCCAGTTTCTGGCAAACAGAGGCTATGGACAGTCAGAGCATGGGGTTGCATCCCTGCCCATCTTGGCTAATTGCCATTGATGAACCTGTTCTCCATGAATAATCCTCTCTGATCATTCTATCTTGCAGGGGGAATTTCCATTTCAGTAACCGTTTCCAAACACGCCGGTTTATTTGGGGTTCTAAGTTACAGCCAAAGGTGTACAAACTGCATTAGAAAATAAACTGATCCAAGCTCTGGTTCTGAAAACCGCCCGTGCAGACGATAAACCTGGCTCACAGTTGTTTGTAAATACAGGTCTAGATGTTCAGTGGGATGAGCAAAGGCAGAAGCTGCCCAAGGTCAGATCCCACAGCCGGTGCAAATTGTCTTGGTTCCATGGACTTCAGTGGAGCTACCCGGCTTCTTATTTATTTTCACTCCAACTAAGAATCTGACCCACACACTCAATGATGCTGCTACCTACACCAGACTCGGGTTCTGAGTTCTTGACAATCTGGCCCTATGTTCACTAGGGCACACTACTAGAAAATTTCCCCATATACAGAAGACCAGCCAAAGGCTTCTGCACTGTTTAAGTCCACTTAAGCTCTATTTTGATGGCTTAAAATAGCACATAGGTTTTGTGTGCGCTGTCTCTGCAAGAGAGAAATTTTCCCTGTAGCATGAGTGATGTGGGAGATATGCTGAGTTGCCAGCTAGTTTTCTTCAAATATAGGACTGAAGAAGCGCTTTGAAGTGAATTTAGAACGGCTCAATATGAAGGCTCTAACAACACAAGCTGAAGCTAGATACAGGATATGGCCGATCTTGGATCAGGTGTCCGTGGAGTAACTCATCTAGCCTATTAGAAAGGCCTTTCCTTCAACGGAGACAACATGGCTGGAGCTTTGTGGAAAACAGGCATATTTCCAGGCTACCTGTCGTTAATCCTGTCTGTCCTGATTCAGTTTGTCTCATGACTCCACAAAATTACTCCATCACTGTATAAGGCCTCAAGAATGTTTCGGACCTATGGAAATATCTCTCTGTGGTAAGGAACATTCCCTGCATTGATGCAGCGAAAGAATTAGATAGCTGAATAGGGCTTTGATTCTAGTCATGAGTGAAAGACTCCTAGTTTGCTCAGTAGGTGAGATCCCATAAACATCCTACCCTGTTGCAAACTCCCATAGAAAGCAATACAGCTTCTGGTTCCAGATGCACAAAAGTTCCATGTTTCAGAGTAGCAGCCGTGTTAGTCTGTATCCGCAAAAAGAAGAACAGGAGTACTTGTGGCACCTTAGAGACTAACAAATTTATTAGAGCATAAGCTTTCGTGGACTACAGCCCACTTCTTCGGATGCATAAAAGTTCCATGGATGTCTTATGAAGTCCTTGTATGTTTGGGTTTAGATTTGCATTCCAGAAGTCCTCAGTCAATGAGACTTTGACTGCGGATTCGCACGCTCCTGTGTATTGAGATTCTTTTCTTGGTGGTATAAATCTTCTACATGGAAAAATGAAAACTTGTTAGGGATAAAGGTGAAGTTTAGAGAAACAAGTTGTTGTTCTTTGAATAATGGTGGTTAATTTATTTGACATAATAGATCTATGCAAAGATACGATTTGGGCTCAATTTTTGCCTTCAGATACAGACCTCAAACTCCTGCTGAGGTCAATGAGACTTGAGCATGACCTCCAGCACCTGATGTTAGCGCCACGGTTTTCTCTCTCAGGCAGCCACTATCTTAACCTGGTAAATAACCAAAACAGAACTGTCCCAGCCTCTTTCTCTTATCGTAGTTTCTCCATCCTCATTTGGTGACTGCTATTTCATCTCCATTTAACACCTTCTGTTAGAGGAACTCAAATTCCTTTACAGACATGAGTTAATTCAGCCTCCCGACACCGCCGTGAGACTGGTATTAGCCCCATTTTATAGATGGAGAAACTAAGGCGCAGCAAGGTAAAGTGACCTTTTTTGAGGTTGCCCAGTGAGTAAATAGCAGAAAAAAACAGGGGAGGGGGACTTGGATAGTCTACAAACCGTGTCCTTGGTATTGGGGAAAATGAGTCACTCCAAATGCCAGATACACTCAATTATCAGCAATTTCACCACAAGTTTCTCTCTCTCTCTCACACACACACTTTTTTTGCCTTTCATTTAAATGTCACTTGGAAAAGTTCTTTTTATTTCCTAATAGTATTTTGGGGGATACATTCACATGCTGTTTCCTAAGGCAGCAGCTAGGCCTCAGGGCTGGTATCATGCTGTTTTCATTGCTGACTTTAACCTCGGTATCACTGTCTCAGGTCCCGAAGCTCACCGCAGTTCGAGGGTCTTGTCATTCATTCAGTGGGCTTTGGATCAGGACCCATGAGCATTATTTTTATTTCACATCAAAGCTTCCAAGGATCTAACGAATCAGACCGTTCAGACAGGCCAGCAGGGACCACAGAGATCGTGTAGTCTGACCACCTGTGTAGCAGGCCACAGAACTTCCCCTAAATAACTCCTTTATATAATAATGAATGAGTTTCTAACCAGGCCTTTTCTGCTTGGTTGTTTTTAGGTGTATGCCACCATGCAGCACTATGGAGTGAACGGTTACTCTCTTCACGCCATGAATTCTCTGAGTGCCATGTACAACCTTCACCAGCAGGCGGCGCAACAAGCCCAGCACGCCCCTGACTACAGACCCTCGGTGCACGCCCTCACGCTGGCAGAGAGACTGGCTGGTAAGAACAATTTATGGATTTTTTGCATTGAGCCGGACACGCGGCCTAGGCTCACGCTGAGCGAGACTCTGCCGCTGTGTGGAATCTTACACAGGCCTGAATGTTCTATAGCAAACTCATTAGATCCCCATGGACAAACGTGGCTGGATCAGAGATACCTGGGTAGTCAACTCACCCCCGTGCATAGATACAAACAAACTACTAGGCTCCCCCGAAAGACCCACTAAGTCCTTCGGGTGAAATTAACCCTGGGCAGAGGGCCAGTGCCCCATCTATGTCCTATTTCAGAGCTGAAGTGGGATTGGAGTGGTGCATTGATCTTGTACCAGCCCTCCGCCCTGGGGTGAATTTCCCCTGATGGGCTTAGACTAGTGGTTCCCAGACTTGTTCCGCCGCTTGTGTAGGGAAAGCCCCTGGCAGGCCGGGCCGGTTTGTTTACCCTCCACGTCCGCAGGTCCAGCCGATCGCAGCTCCCACTGGCCACAGTTCGCTGCTCCAGGCTCCAGGGCTTCTGGAAGCGGCGGTCAATACATCCCTCGGCCCGCGCCCTTCCAGCAGCTCCCATTGGCCTGGAGCAGCGAACCGTAGCCACTAGGAGCCGCGATTGGCCGAACTTGTGGACGGGGCAGGTAAACAAACCGGCCCAGCCTGCCAGGGGCTTTCTCTACACAAGCGGCGGAACAATTTGGGAACCACTGGCTTAGATACTTGCTTATTCTCTACACTTGAAGCCCTTGTCCCGCTGAGGGCATGCTCTCCTGCAGACCCTCTTCTCCCATCGGCACTTCTTATGTTGGATCCCTCCAGAGCATCCCTTGCCCGATCTGTCACCCTGGGGTTTGGCCCATCTACGTCAGAGTGTAACAGCTTTGGAAAAGGGACCATGTCACCATCTCGCCTTTGTAAAGCGCTGCATCCATTGACAGCACTGTAGAAATACTGAAAGGAGCGCTAAGCAGTGCAAGACACCCCACTTATTGGCTTGTCAGGACGACGGTCGGGAGGCGTGGGTCAGAGTTAGCAGGGGCAGCAGACAAGCAAGCCAGGGACTGTGTAGTGTGTGCACAAGGCAGGCTCTGACTCGTTGGAGGTCACTCACTTGCGACTGCAATATAAATGATGGACAGAAATAATAATGCCCTGATGTGTGGGTAGCTAGGGGGCCCTGTCCTGAAGAGTTCACAAGCTAACTGGCTCGGCCTGGAAAGGCAGATCTTGCTGAAGGGCAATTGCATCCCGAGCTGTGTTGCAACAATGCATGAAAAATTTGTTGCTAAGATGTAAGTAAAACTAGGCAATCTCCAGCCGACCGTCAGAACTCACTGATAACTGGGATTGGGTGAAGAGGAATCTCAAGAGCTTTGGCTAAGCATCTGGGTGTTTCCCTGGTCCTTGAGCGTATAAATGAGGGAGAGATATCTCATGGAGGTGGTGTGGTCTAGTGAATAGGGCAGGGGTTCTGAAACTGTGGGTCAGGACACCAAAGTGGGGTCCCCAGGACTGATGTTAGACTTCCTGGGGCCAAAGCCCAAAGGCTTCAGCTCTGGGGGGCGGTGGGGCTCAAGTTTCAGGCCCCCTCCTGGGGCTGAAGCCCCTGGGCTTTGGCTTTGGCCCCGCCCATCCGGAGCGATGGGGCTCAGGCTTTGGCCCTGCCAGCCAGGGTGGCAAGGCTCGGATTTTGGCCCCCCAGCCCGGGGCAGTGGGGATCAAGTGGGCTCAGGCTTTGGGCCCCTTGGGGTTGTGTAGAAATTGTTGTTCTCGAAAGAGGGTCGTGGTCAGGGCCGGCTCCAGGCACCAGCATTCCAAGCAGGTGCTTGGGGCGGCAATCTGCAAGGGGCAGCCGTCCGTGTGTTTTTGCGCCCCGAGTAGTGCGCCAAATTGCCGCCGCGGACGGTGGGGGCAGTCCGTACGCCGTTGGGGCGGCACGCGCGTTTCCGCGGCGGCGGCAATTTGGCCACAGCTTTTATGTTCAGCTGCCCGCGGTGGTAATTCGGCGGCTTCTGTCTTCCGGCTGAAGACAGAAGCTGCCGCCGAATTGCTGCAGCCGCGGAAACATACGTGTCGCTCTAACAGCACACGGACTGCCCCCGCCGTCCGCGGCGGCAATTCAGCGCGCTGCTTGGGGTGGCAAAAACAGTAGAGCCGGCCCTGGTCGTGGTGCAAGGAAGTTTGAGTACCCCTGGAATAGGGCAAGGGGTGAAAGTAATATTAAATGCTTACTGGTACAGGGACCCGGCTCCGAGCCCCTGGAAGGGGCGGGGCCTCGTGCAGAAGGGGCGGGGCTGGGGGTCAGCCTCCCCCAACCAGCCCATCCACGCCGCCTGGGGCTCCAGTGGCAATTTAAAAGGGCCCGGGGCTCCAGCCACTGCCATGGTAGTGGCGGTCGGGAGCTCTGGACCCTTTTAAATCGGCGGCCCCAGGGCAGCTGCCCCTTTTGTCTCCCCGTCGACGGCCTCGGGGTGGAGTGGGTAAAAGGGGCAGTGACGTTAATGTTGGCTGGGTACAAGTCGGTACCGGCTTCTTACCGGCACACCGTACCGGCCCACTTTCACCCCTGAATAGGGCAAAGGATTGGGAGTCAGGAGGCCTGATTCCATGACCTTGGGCAAGTCACTTTCCCTTTTGTGGGCCTGTTTCACCTCTTACCCTTTGTCTCTTTAGCTTGTAAGCTGTTGGCGACAGGGACTGTTTCACTAGGTGTTTATATAGCACATAGTGAACTTGGGGGCCTCAAGATGCTACTGTAATACACAGAATAAGGATCTCTTGGAAGGCTTCTGATCAGGAAATCCCAAGAAAACAGCTGAGCTCATATGCTGTGGTTTTACATTTCTGGCCTTAGCCATAAGCAACCAGGAAAACACAGGGGTGGCTGAAAACAGCGGGGGCTGAGGGAAGCTTTTCAGACTCCTTTCACTACTATTCAGAGCAAAGATTCAGGTTGGTTTCTGGCTACTTATTTTATCTTAACCTTTTGTTAACAAAGAGAACCAATCTGGATAATTTCAGTAAATTAGTCAAACTGTCCTCTTCTGATCCAAATATACCTTCCACCAATCTGGCGAGCAGCAAAGGGGACCTGGCTTCAGTTTATGCTGAAGCAAGCAGGCTCCTAACGTGATTACTTACCGCATTTTGTTACCGCTGAACATCTTTTAGTGCATGGTTATAGATCACGCTTGCCTTCCAGGGACAGTCGGAATAAGCCAGCACAAAAGCAAACAACCTTAAATTGGAAAACAGAGGTTTCAGATTGTAACGGCAAAGCCTCACCTGCAATTCATAATCTCCGTCTTGAACTGAACCTGAAAACATAGTTAAAGCATTGAAATAATTGTTGTCTAGATCCTTGTCAGCAGCCAAATTAAATACTTGAGCCACCACCTCTGAGAAACTGGCAGGTTTAACCTCCACTGTGGAATGTTGGGAATATTCCAGCTGGTAGATGTTAAACCACGATCTCTCCTTGGTTTTGATACTTGATGTATTAAAGTTAGATGCCATGGGACTTTAGAAAATACTTTAGGGATCTCTTGTCCTGAAAGAATATTCCTTTCCTTAGGAAAGCAGCCAGGCAGCATTGTGAGCTGTTTCTGAAGTCATAAAGGAGACTTCCTGCCTTCTCCTACAAAAGTGGCTGTATTACCGGTATCTAATAACTCATTGCTTCCTTGAATGCAGAGGTCTCTTTGTTTTGTATTCTTCTGGAAACTTTTAGCCTGACTGAGCATTCCCTGGGTCACCAAAACCACTCGTACTTTGGCAATAGTGTGGGGAAGCATCGTGGAATTTGGCCTAGAATGAAACAGCTGGAAGTTTGGAACTGGAATATTCAAATAGCACAAAGATGATTTGACACGCTCGTTAGCTAACGTATTTGGAACCAAACTGTGTGGTTCTGGGATTGGCCTGACAGCCGGCTTTGTTTTATTGTTTACATTCATGCCATGGGACTTGCAACAAAAGCTCACATAAATAGCAAAGCCCGCAAAACAAGAGCCTGACTCTGGCCATGTAAAATTAGGTTTGCTTTCTAGTGTGTCCATTCCCTCTGTCGGAACGATCGCGTTCTTAGCTGTATTAAAAATGATGCCATAGACTCTTAAAGCTGGAATTTAAACAGGGAAAAAAAATATCAAATGCATTTCTCATTCGGGCTCTTTGTTTACTTCTTTTGCTCTTCATCTTAGACCATGATCACTACAGCTCAGATTCCCGTGCGCTACCGCAGTGTCGGGTTTGGGTTCACAATATTGCAGAATTTAAAATAAAAACAGCCTATTGTCATTGACTTTTCAAAAACCAACCCTAAAAACAGGTCTGCTCCTAGTAGGTTTCGTAACCCCCTCTTGTTTATTGGGAGCTTTTAGTGGCAGAATCGGGAGGCCTGATTTTTTTTCCAGCCCATACTTGATTTTTTGCATCCCCAATTTTGTGGGCACAAATAAACTGAAGACATAATTTGTAGCTTTGAGACACCAAACTAGCTCATCTGCCCGGAAAGGGAGGGTGGTCAGTGACTAGGGCTCCGGACTGATACTCAGGAGAGTTGGTTCTGTCACTGAACTTCGGCAAGTCACTTCAGTTTCCCCTCCCATTCTTTGTGTGTCTTGTCTATTTAAAAAGTAAGCCCTTCAGGACCAGGTCTGTCTCCCTCTATCTCTCTATACAGTTACCCTAGATAGTCATCTAAAACTTGGATGCTAAAAAGGAGACCAGGTTATAAAAGTTAAGCCCCTTTTGTCCTTGAAATTGTCTAGCAAACTGTCAGCCTTCTTTAAACAACCATTAAAATCTCGAATTTGGGTCACACCTAAGTTGGCATGGGATCCCTTTAAGATCCATCTTTTGCATTGAGTCCAATTAGCTGGGTTAGATCTTCCCCATCAGCACCCTGTTGGTCTTGTATGTCCACTGTGACATAGACTCATAGGACTGGAAAGGGACCTCGTGAGGTCATCTAGTCTAGTCCCCTGCACTCATGGCAGGACTAAGTAATTATCTAGACCATCCCTGAAAGGTGTTTGTCTAACCTGCTCTTAAAAAACTCCAATGATGGAGATTCTACAACCTTCCTGGGCAATTTATTCCAGTGCTTAACCACCCTGACAGATAGGAAGTTTTTCCTAATGTCCAACATAAACCACCCTTTCTGCAATTTAAATCCACTGCTTCTTGTCCTATCCTCCGAGGTTAAGGTTTTCTCCCTCCTCCTTATAACAACCTTTTATGTACTTAAAAACTGTTATGTCCCCTCTCTGTCTTCTCTTCTCCAGACTAAACAAACCCAATTTTTTCAATCTTCCCTCATAGGTCATGTTTTCTAGACCTTTAATTATTTTTGTTGCTCTTCTTTGGACTTTCTCCAATTTGTCCCCATCTTTCCTGAAATGTGGCACCCAGAACTGGACACAATACTCCAGTTGAGGCCTAATCAGCGTGGAGTAAAGCAGAAAAATTACTTCTTGTGTCTTGCTTACAACACTTCTGCTAATACATCCCAGAATGATGTTTGCTTTTTTTGCAACAATGTTACACTATGACCCCCAGATCCCTTTCCACCTTACTCCTTCCTAGGCCGTCATTTCCCATTTTGTATGTGTGCAACTGATTGTTCCTTCCTAAGTGGAGTACTTTGCATTTGTCCTTATTACATTTCATCCTATTTACCTTAGACCAGGGGTCGGTAACCTCTGACACGCGGCTCGCCAGGGTAAGAACCCTGGCGGGCCGGGCCAGTTCGTTTACCTGCCACGTCCGCAGGTTCGGCCAGCACGTCCCTCGGCCCGTGCCACTTCCCGCAGCCCCCATTGGCCTGGAGCAGCAAACCGCAGCCAGTGGGAGCCGCGATTGGCCGAACCTGCGGACGTGGCAGGTAAACAAACTGGCCCGGCCGACCAGGGCGCTTACCCTGGCGAGCCGTGTGCCAGAGGTTGCCAACCCCCCGCTTAAACCATTTCTCCAGTTTGTCCAGATCATTTTGAATTTTAATCCTATCCTCCAAAGCACTTGCAACCCCTCCCAGCTTGGTATCGTTCACAAACTTGATAAGTGTACTCTCTGTGCCATTATCTAAATCATTGAAGAAGATATTGAACAGAACAGAACCCAGAACTGATCCCTGTGGGACCCCACTTGATATGCCCTTCCTGCTTGAGTGTGAACCACTAATAACTACTCTCTGGGAACAATTTTCCAACCAGTTCTGCACCCACCTTATAGTAATTCCATCTGGGTTGCATTTCCCTAGTTTGTTTATGAGAAGGTCACGTGAGACAGTATCAAAAGACTTACTAAAGTCAAGATATACCACATCTACCGCGTCCCCTCTAGCCACAAGACTTGTTACCCTGCCAAAGAACATGGGTTGATGTGGGGAGAGTTGAGAGGATGGGAATGTATAGGCCTACTTTCACTAAAGCATTCCTATTTAGAAAAGCACTTAAGCCTGTGCATTGAAATCAATGGGGCTTAAGCATATGTGTACGTGTTTTTCTGAATCAGGGCCCATGACCTTAAAGTCTGTCTCTCCACCTTAGTGTTTTGAGGACTGTGATAAGCTATATGAGAGACACAACAGGAGCCAAAGTGACTTCTAATCCTGACAGCAATGTGCCTTCTAAGAGTTGGACCCCAAAAAAACCCCAAACCAAAACCAAACCAGAGGCAGCTGTTTTATGAGTTACACATCCTCACCCCATTAATTGACACAGAGCCTGACTGCAGAATTGAAGCTAGTTGGACTTCAATGAGAACAAGATCAGGGCCACTGGGAGAACTGCTCCACCTTTAGGCCACAATCCCCACCTCCTTGTTTGGTGCAGGTGCCAGGGGCCTTATTTCAGATGTCAACATGCACATTCCAATAATTAAATTGGCCACTTTTCTTGTCTTCCAACGGCTGTACATTTCAAGACATCATTTTGGAGGCCCGTTATGGATCCCAGCATCGCAAACAGAGGAGAAGCCGCACAGCCTTCACCGCCCAACAACTGGAAGCCCTGGAGAAGACTTTCCAGAAGACTCACTATCCAGATGTGGTGATGCGGGAACGACTGGCCATGTGCACCAACCTACCGGAAGCCAGAGTACAGGTATCCGCCTTCTACCTTGCTTGCACCAATAGGGCTATTTAAGAGATATACGAAGAGGGCCCACTGGGTTGGCTTGATCTGTAGTTCTTTCAAAATGCTTTCATAGTAACCAAAGAAGGAGGGTTTTCTCTGCAGCAAAAAATGGACTTAAATCTTTGCTTCAGACTGAGGGAGCTGCAACAGAAACTGAATCCACACACACATTTTTGAGGGTTTGTGTTGTCTGAGGGTAGCCCTGGCTTTCATTTGGGATTCCAACTCTCTTTGGGGGGAAATCTTAGAAATGGCCACAAAAGTCTACTTATTTATTTATTTACTTATATGACTGTTTCTCTGGCATCCTCGGAGGCCTAGGAGCACAAGTAATTCCAGCTGTTCCCTCCCAACAATGTCAATATTTATAACGTCTCAGACCATCTGGTCCAACAGTTTCTGTTCTCCTCCAGTGAAACAAATAAGTAGAGCTGGTCGGGAATTTTTTAACAAAACTTTTTGCAGTGTAAAATGCCAATTCATCAGAACTGAAATTATTTGGAGGAGGTGGTTGGTTTTTGAGGAGCTTCTCAGTTTGAATTTTTTTTAAAAAAAGCTTAAAAATTGTCAAAATGGGACATTTTCAAAACAACAAAAAATTAAAAAGTTCTGGGTTTTGGATCAACATTTCTCTTGTTGAGAAACTTGCGTTTTAAAAAAGGAAAATAGAAAGGACAAAATCAAAACAAAAACAGAATTGTCAAAAGAAAACCGCATTTTGATTGACCTAAGCTGAATTTGTTCGTGAAAATTTGAGATTGACTTTTTGTCACAATTTGAGGTGAAAATATTCTTCGAACTCTCAAATTCTTCTGGGATGGGAAAATCATTTCTCACCTAGCCCTACAAATACTAATATGCTGCATGACTTACTGATATTATGGGTGCCTGCTCAGTATGGGTTTAAGGCGCTACATAGCAGGCCAGCCTTAACTGAGAAAAATGGGAAGGGGACATGAGATTTCAATCTAGCAGAAAAAGATATAACGTGATCCAAGGCTGGAAGTTGAAGGTAGACACAGTCCGACTAAATAAGGCGTAAATTCTTGATGGTAAGAGTAATTAACCATTGGAACAATTTACCAAAAGTTGTGGTGGATTCGCTATCATTGATTTTTACACTAAGATTGGATGTTTTTCTCAAAGATCTGCTCTAGGAATTATTTGGGTGAAGTTCTGCAGCCTGTGCTATACATGAGATCAGACTAGATGATCACAATGGTCCCTTCGGGCTTTGGAATCTACAAATTACAATCTTGAGCCGGTTGTCTCCTTCCGAATTTATTCCCAAATTGAGTTACATTGGGATAGTATGTTGAAAAGGACACACCCAAACACACCTAGTATTAGCAATTGGATATTTTCCTGTAACTTAAGAGTAAGAACCTTTGACTTTGCTCCTAAGGGTTACTGGTTCAATTCCCACCAAGGAAACTTCCTTCACCGCCTGACCTGGCATATTGGAGTCAAATGTCCTATGATACCAGATACTACCTTGCTGTACAGCTTTAAAGGATTAGCCCAAATATCTTAATGTGAGACATTGCATCACACAGACGATACATATTTGGCCCAGCAAGGGTACGAACCACTCAAGACCTGGTTCCCAGTACCGTCACAAAACAACACAATACCACAACAGAGCTGCATTCATCACAGAGAGGGCTTGTATACAACATACATAACGAAATCAGTTAAATTGCAAAATTTATCTTCTTGTTTTGTGGTAGCAATGAGCCCTGGTCTACAGTGGGGGGTGGGGATCGACCTAAGATACACAACTTCAGCTACGAGAATAGTGTAGCTGAAGTCGACATATTTAGGTCGACTTACCGCAGCATGTGCACGGTGCTGAGTCGACTGCTGCTGCTCCCCCGTCGACTCCGCTTGCACCTCTCGTGGCGGTGGAGTACCGGAGTCAATGGCAGAGCACTCGGGGATCGATTTATCACATCTACACTAGACGCAATAAATCGATCCCCGATAGATCGATCACTACCCGCCAATCCAGCGGGTAGTGTAGACACACCCTTAGAGTCCACATTCAGGGATCAAGGTATTACTGCTAGTTACTATGCACGGACGCGCACACACATACTTCATGCCCCAAACAGCTTACAGTCTAGAGACTCAAGAGTATTCTAGTGTACAGAGCACTGAGACTCAGGACATGTGGGTTCTATTCCCAGCTCTGCCACTGGTTGGTCAGGTGACCTTGAGCAAGTCACTTCCCCCCTCTGTGCCTCAGTTTCCCCATCTGTAAAATGGGGATAAGGCTATAATCCTCCACTATAAAGAGCTCTGAGATCTACTGAGATGAAAAGCACTACAGAAGAGGTTGTTGTTATTTAGGTCCATTCAACTAATCATTCAAGTCAAATAATCTAAAGTATTGGCAGTAATTAACGCATATGTCTGTCCTCTATAATATGACTTATTCTGACTGTGTTTCTATATGGTTTTGGTACAGATTAATGTGATATACGCTGTTTTTAGAAAGCTAGCAGAACATTGTACTCTCTACCTACTTAACTCAGGTCTGTTGGTGACTGAGATGGTTTAATACATCGCTTGTGATTTTTTTTTTTTCCTTGACAGAGCTGTGTTTTCTTAAAGAACCAGCATTAAGTCTGGGGATTTTAAAAGCATCTAAGGGAGTTAGGCACCCAAATTCCATTGAAATGCAGTGGAATTTGGGTGCCTACATACCGTGGGTTCTCGTCAAAATCCCAGTCTATTTGACTTTTTGATTTTTGCATTACTAGGGGTTTTTATCCTGTCTCCCTGTGGTATAAAGGTTTGGTTTAAGAACCGAAGAGCCAAATTCCGGAAGAAACAGCGCAGCCTCCAGAAGGAGCAGTTGCAGAAGCAGAAGGACTCAGAAGGGAGCCACAGCGAGGGGAAGACGGACGCTCTTGTGCTGGAAAGCCAGACTTCCGCCCCTGACGTAGACAAGCCACAGAGCCAGCCGAGCGAAGCCAGCACGGAGCTCAACCTCACCTTGTCGGAGCAGTCGGCCAGCGAGTCCGCAGCAGAGGACCAGACGGACAGAGAGGAGGACTTTAAGAACCCCTTGGAGGAGTCCAAAGCAGACAAAGGTCCCGGCGCTGAGAGCAAGGCTCTGAACTGCAAGAGAGCCAGTCCAAAAGCAGGTGAGGGTCAATGCGCGTGTGGAGGCCTGGTCTCCAGGCCAGATTGGGAGCCAGAGACTGAGCATTGGCAAGTACAGTATGATATGCCCTAGATCATTGGTTTCTCCCAGCCTGGAAGCGGGAGGTCACAATCCCCTGGGAGGGAAGCAAATTGGTCCAGGTGCGTGATGAGCATTCTTCCTTTCTTTATGGCTAGACGGGATGCAGGGAGGTCCCCCGTTGTAACATGGGGTCCCAGCGCAGAGAGGGCTGAGATCCCCCATTAGCTTAGATGAGCACCGAAGAACACTGCTCAGTGACAGCATGCCATTCACAGGCATACTGGGCACACACTTCCCCATTGAATAAGAGTCTAAATGCCCTCTGGGGAACACACACTTGCTAAAAAACCTGGCTCCCTCTCACAAGCCAGGTCCGCCAGGCACTTTAATGAGGTAGTTGCCAGTTGCGTGTGACCCGGTCGGGCAAACATGACCAACAAGTTTAGCACAGAAATAGTTCATAGTGTGGAATCAGAATCTCCTCTCCTGGTGGACTGTAATGGCTTGCAAAGGATCCGAAAGAGGTCAAATCCTAGCCCTCCAAGAGCTTGTTGGGAATATACCACAAAACCTGCAAGACGGACAACCAGGCCTATTCTCTCCAGAGAAGACAGTGGCAGGTTTGCTCAGGCCTGGCCAATGCATTTCCTCACTAAACACAGAGCAAATACATCCGTCCTACTCGCGTGTAAATCCTCTCAAGAATGAAGTGGAAGGCCACAGGGATACAGAGATGGCCCTTACCGGGGAACGTAGAAATTGTCAGACTGTATCCAACTAGTGGGCCATCTAATCTTGACTCTGATGGTGGCCAGCTATAAAAGAATCTGCCCATGGCAAGTTAATATATGGAGATATATCTATCTCATAGAACTGGAAGGGACTCTGAAAGGTCATTGAGTCCAACCCCCTGCCTTCACTAGCAGGACCAAGTACTGATTTTTGCCCCACATCCCTAAGTGGCCCCCTCAAGGATTGAGTTCACAACCCTCGGTTTAGTAGACCCATGCTCAAACCACTGAGCTATTCCTCCAGATCTTCATGACAGCAAGGAGCTTTACCTTCCGTGAGCTGGAGCTGCGCTCCCTGCCAGGCCCAAAGCCTACGCTCCATGGCGGCATGTCCATGACTGTTAAAGCCGTATCTGCACAGGAACAAGGAGAGGTGTCAGCGAGCAGCACAGAGCTGGGCTAGAATCGCTTCCACCCAGGAACAATATGCCAGGGAAGGGAGGTCCTCGGCCTCCCTGTGGGACACTAGTGTCCATCAGTTAGAGACTGGCTTATAACATGAAGCATGAGAGTTTGTGCCTCTTCCAAATTATTTATTATTATTGCTTTTAAATGTTCAGTCCTTTTGGGACTCCTGTTTATCTCTCGGCTTCAGATATATCTTGTGGCAATGAGTTCCCCAGGCCAATTTGTGCCTTCTGTGGAAAAAGTATTTCCTTTTTGGTCCGATTTAAATTGGTCACTTTTCAATTTCCTTGAATGACATCCCCCAACCCCGCACCCCTCCCATTCTTGTATTTTGAGAAAAGGTGGCTCGAATCTGGAGTGGTGCCGTTTGGATGAGTTTTATAGGGCCCCAATCTTGCTTGCTTGGGTTTCTCCACCCTGGACTCAGCAAACAAGATCTCCTCTGAACAGCCAGTATGGAAAGATCAGTTCTCCATTCTGGTTCTGTTTGGGTCTTCACAATAATAGCCCCACTCTGTCGCTTTCCATGGCCTTGTCTGAGCCTTGCTTGGAAAGGATCAGGGGAGGCAGTTACAGGAACGCTGGTCCAGATAATTCATTCATCAACACCCTTGCTGCAATTTGGCTTCTGGTTAATTAGCACTCAAATGTGCAAGGTGATTTGCATACTCCGTCCATGCTCCGGAGAACTTAGTCTGGATAAAAGGTCCCCGGCACCCCTCTCCTTCCTCCTTCTCTGTAAATCAGTTGCCTTCCTCAGCCACCACCCTCCTTAGGGAGATCGTTCTATTCAGCGGCCACATATGTCTAACCCCCCTCCTTACATCTTGTCTTCTAACGCAGACTCTCCCATCAGTGCCACGGTAACGCCTTCCTCCAGCAGCGGCATGTCTCAGACTCACTCCTACTCCTCCTCACCTCTGAGCCTCTTCCGTCTCCAGGAGCAATTTCGCCAGCACATGGCCGCCACTAACAACTTGGTCCATTACTCCTCCTTTGAAATGGGGACCCCAACTGCCATGCCCTACTTGGGCATGAATGTCAACATGGCGCCCCTCAGCTCTCTCCATTGTCAGTCGTATTACCAGTCGCTCTCCCACGCCCAGCAGGTCTGGTCTTCACCCATCTTGCAGGCGTCTAGCTCCCTCCCTACCCTGAACAGTAAAACGACAAGTATTGAGAATCTAAGGCTCCGGGCAAAGCAGCACGCCGCCTCCCTCGGACTTGACACCTTACCAAACTGACCGCAAGGCAGCAGGGGAACCCCCACCCTACCGTCAGCCGCAAGAGAAGGCACCTTCCGCTGGCACTAAACGTGTGGCTCTTTTGAAAATGCACAGCTCTCCTCTCCACCTGGATCAAGGTGCTCCCTTTCGGGGGATACTTTCAATCCTTTACTTCTTCACTAGCTCCATTTTCACGTCCGGTACTGCTACTGGCCCCACTTCCACTGAAGTATTTAATAAAGAAGGAAAGAGGGCATGTACTTAGATGTTAAAAAAAACTCTCCTGAGGACCGAGGAGTTAAAACTGTCATGTCCAGAAAGATCCCTCTTTCGTTGATACTGTGATAATGTGCCGACTGTGATTTTTGTTTTGTTTTGTGCTCTGGAAAACCTAGTCTCCTCGTACTGTATATAGATTCTATTGTTGAAAACATCCTTCATTTGTGTGTTGCTGTCTGTGTTGCCTTATGCAGAATTATGGAGCATTTTGCTATCTTTCCTCCCTCCCCCTTTCTTTCAGATTTATACTTGTAGTAGCTAGAATCAAAATTACAATCCAAAAAAACCCCACAAGCTCTGAGCGGGAGATGCTTCTTTGGCCAGAGTTCTGAATGAGTCTAGCAAGAGGAATTCAGAGAAAAGATTCTGAATGCCATTATCATATCTTCTCCAGTTCTCCGTTAAAACCAACCTGCAAACGCCAGGGAATGATGTAAAGGGTTGTTTCCTGTTAAAGCACTTCCCGTCGGTAGGAACTTTTTTTTTTTAAAGCACTTCTTCGAAGTCCGAGGACAAAGAATTTGCCACCGGGCTCTGTTGGTTAGAGAGCGAGGAAAAATGAAAGCACTAGATTTTGTCAAATTCACAAGACTTTTACTGAGGTTGCTGCATCTTTGTTCTTCACTGAAGTGTACACTCTGCTATTTATAAATGATGTGTAAAAAAGCATTTTGGTCTAACTTGGACAACAAAGAACAATAAAAAGTTGGTATGAACTCCTGCTGCGTTCATACACCATTTGCATTATGTGGCGGTTCATCAAAACCGTGATTAATTCAAGCTGTGTTTAGGAAAACTGTCTCCATGCCAAATTCTGTCCTCAGACCACAAACCCTGGGGGCTCCCCTGCTTGTCTCAGAAACCGACTAAGTAGAGAATGAATGCAGACAGGCTAGAGGTGGGCCTGAACCAATACCCAGATCTGAACACTCCTGAGCTTAGGAAATGACTTAAATCCAAACCCAGATGCGGATCTCAATTTTGCAAATGGCCATTCCTCTCGGTAGAAGGCCAAACCAAAATCCCAGATCCAGACATCCCGCAACCCAGTGGGATGTTGAAGATCTGAATCAAAATTATACATGAGCCTGAGCCTCGCTGATACTGTTAATGGAGCTATGCCAATTTATACCAGCTAAAATCTGGCCCGTATGTGATTAGTGTGTGATATACACACACACATATAACACGGGTATCTGATGAACTAAAAAACTTTTATTGATTTCTGTTTTGCCTAGCTCTGTCCCATTACCAATGCGATTACACTAGCACAGAGGATAATGGCCAACTTACTTATCTAAATGTGGAAAAAAGAATACAACCCGCTCGACTACAACTGTCTCTCTCAAGCTGTTCTGCTAAAAGTCTCTCTTGGTGAGTTCCCAGTGGTGACCAGACCTGGTTGGGAAATGATTTCCCTTCTCCTCTTTGAAAAATGTCAACAAAAACTCCCTGGCCCCCCCCATGGGGGGGATGAGTTACTGAAGACACCGTTTTCAACAAAAGTGGAAATAAGTTTGTGTACATTTCAGTTCAGTCAAACATTTTGATGGAAAATGTTCATTTGGCTTGAGTGGTTGACAAGATTACGCACGTCACCAGCGCTGCAAGATACCCTATAACGGGTATTTTGTCTGGGATCTGCAAAGAACCCAAACCATATTGACACCCTCTACCTGAGGCCTTCTTGAAAATCCCAGTCTTTATTTTTTATAGCACTTGGGTGCCTGCCATCTGAAACCACTGACACCAAATATGAGCTTTCATTTTATTTCCACCCAAATTACCTGTTTGTTTCCTCTCCTCCCTATCTCCTCCTAAGGATGATAGTGAGCAGGTGTGAAGATGGTTTTAATACAGCAGAGCAACTGAAAAGCATTTTTAAGCACCCAAGGCTAAATTTTGCCCAGGAAGGGTGATAGAGTGAGACATCGAAGGGTGGCCTAAGTGACATGACGTTCAATTCTGATATGGTATGACTGGAATCAGCGACATCCCTTGGCAGGTCAGGACACTAATCTTGTTACACTAGGGGATACAGAAACACACCGCAGAAGATTACAAGGATCAAAATCTATCAGTGCCCGACCTCTGCCTGTAGCCTTCAGCAAGCCCAGGAAATGGAGTGTGGCAGATACACCTGACGCGACAATAAACTTCCCTCAGTTCTCCAGAGGAAGCAGAAACTTCCCTAAGGTTCTTGTCATCTTGCCTCAGGAGGAAATTCCTTCCAGAATCACAGTGTAGCAATCCATTGAACCTTATGTGCATCATGTTACATATCTAATCCCATTTATCTCCAGAGATAAAATTGGTATGGAATTGGTACCATTGGAATATGGTATAAAATTGGTCCTGTTCTGACCGCTGAGTTCCTTCCCTTCTATGCTCGTGTCACTCCATTAAAATCAACAGAGTGACACATGGATAAAACTTGAGCAAAGAACAGTGAGTCAGACTCCTGGTCTTCTTTTAATCCTAAAGACAGCTGATCAAGGGGCAGAGACTTTCGAGTCTTCATCACTCTTTGGGGAGGAATCTTTCCATGTGGTACATGTTTGTTTATTTCCAGGAATGTCTATGCCGAATTTGCCAGTGTAACCTGCAACCATAAATACATAGGGAAGACAGATCATGTATCCCACTCCCAGGAATTTTAGGTGTTCAAATAAATTAGAACCCTGTTCCAAATCACCCCTCATTTTGGTTTGACAAAATCTGGTACCCTGGTTCCATCTTCTCTTACATTCAACCAAGCTAGTCTGAATTTCAAAGTTTTGATTAATTTCCAAAAACAAAACTGAGGAAAACTTTCAATGATTTTTTTTTGATGATTTACCCCTCTTTAACTCACCCCCACCATTTTAAATCAGCCATAGATCTGGTCAAAATTTCTAAATGTTCACAATTTTTCCTCTTTTATCACTTGCTCTCATTAGATGTGATACATAACATGTACATCACACGTAGTGCAGATACGTAAGGCCCAAATGTCACTTAAGGAGAAGACAGTGTAATGATCAGCGCAGATAGCACCTCCCAAGTTAAATGGTGCTTTATCTTTATCTTGCTTTCAGGTTGTTGTCCTAGTATTCCAAGCAGAACTAGTGCACTGAAAAAAAAAACCCTACGCCTCTCCCACCATCACCCTGACAGTGTCACTACTCTGGGGCTGAATGAATGTTTTTTTTTTACTTAGCAGGGTTTTGTAGTCCACAGCAAACAGTCAAAAATTAATTTTTATGTAATAGTCTGAATGGGAGAAGAACATTCCCCAAACAAAACGCATAGCATAAATGTTGGAATTAACATGTTGGCTTCCTTATAGATGACCAGGCAAGGACCTCCAGAATCTCCACAACTTCTGTTTTACATGGGCCATGAAAAGAATATGTACCTGGAGACTGTGTCAATGTGCATGAGATATTTTTTCCCCCTCTAGCTTTGCTCATATTACCTTCCCTTTGCACCACATGTGGCCAAAACCTACAATTTTGCATTCATAATCGATTTTCCAAGTATGAGCCCATCCTGTAAATTGCTGCAAGCCCCTGTGGCTCATAGGATCAGATCCCACTTGAGAAAAATACTGAGTAAAAGGGTTAAAACAATGTAGAGTAAGAGTTTGCAGTAAGACTGACTGACTTGTTATGCAAGGAAAATGTCCTGGGGCCAATGAAATTAGTGGGAGTTTTGTTCTAAGTAAGAATGTAGAATTAGATGCATAGAGAAGAAATGCTGATTCTGAGTAAGGCCTGCTACCACAGAAGGTTCTTTTACTGCTGGTTGGAAGGGGAAAAGGCAGGGGATTTATTTGCAAACAATCTTTGAAATTTGTGAATTTGAAATAAAAGGGGCAGGGGTTGCAAATTTTATCTGCATTCTCTCCCCCCTTCCCCCCAAAACTTCAAAATTTCCAATTTGAAACATTTCAGCCAGGTCTACAGATGGTTGAAAAAAAACGCAAATGTTACATCAACTTCTGAAGAATTTCTGCCTGTTCTAGGTTCTTGTAACCACCGCAGCCAAACAAACTTGTGCATCTCTGATCAGGAAACGCCCAAGTGGCATGGGGAATTTGGGGTTGTTTTCTACCCTTGAGCATTGTATCAGACTTTCAGTGACACGACAGAGCTTTTAACAAAGACTGGAGACAAAAAGATGGTCCTTAGGGTTTAATGTGTAAAAGGTCTAAACAAACCTTTATGAAGGAAAAGCAAAACCACTATGATATAAAGGTCTAATTATAAGAACTGTGCAGTGAGATTAGATTCAGCCAAAACTAGTGAATTCAGAGAATTTTCCTTTTGGTTATACAAGCTGTATTTGTTTTTTTACCCCTTGTGTGCCTCTTTGCCGTTCTTTACAATTTACTGTGGAATGAGACAAAAAGCCTGTGTTGTTTGATACACCTAAACAGCTATTTATTTCTTAAGTGACTGAGGTTCACACCTGAATCAAAAGCACAGTGATAGGGAAAGAGAAAAGGCGAAGGAATCCTACGATAGCAACTAGAAGAGATTCTCCATCAGATTCCAAACCAAACCCAGTAACAATTAACATTCTGTATATACAACGATGTTCTGTAGATCCACTGTTTGTCCTTGACCGTATGACCAGAGCCACTCAATTCATTAGATTTCTCACACTACGCCCAGGGACAGCTTTAACCTTGATTTAAAGACAAGAGGCCAAATTCGCCACTCCCGTAAATGAGTTGCAATTCCATTGATTCCAATGGAGCTGTGCTGATTTATGCCCAAAAGCGTTGACAAGGTCCAGGATTGGCCACTTGCATGAAATCTTATCGGTTGCTAAGAGCCGCGTGGAGTGAAATCAGTTATTACTTATAAAAGCTGGAGGAGGAACCAGCCTCTGCTCTCAGTTGTATTGGTGTAAAATTGGAGTAATTCCACCACCTTCACTGGGGTAATGCCAGATTCACATCTATGTAACTGAGAACAAAACCTGGCCCAAGAATACGGCACATTTGTAGTATACTCAAAAGAGACCATCTTTCCAGCCTAGATGATCTACTACACACCCAGTGAGACAGCCATTTGTAAATTGTTTTATGAAGACATTAATTAACCCCGCAGGACGTTAATCTCATGTTTGGTGTACTGTTCATGGCCACACCTCTCATAACCTTTCTAGCTATTGAGAAGGGCTGCTGTATGCTGCTGAAATTTAGACGTGTCTTTGCAGTTTAAAGTAATTTTTTAGTATTTCTTCTCCAACAGTCTTGATGGCCCGTTTGGCTACTGACCAGAGTTGTCCAGTTAGCTCCAAAGTGTAACCATGTGTGTGTCAAACGTATCTTGCAAAGGAACAAAGACTTTTAAAGGGGAAAAAAAAAATCAAAGTTATGTACTGTACAAACTGCTGTAAAATTAAGCTGTAGTGTAACAATTTGTGCTTTAGAAGTCACTCTCTGCAAACCCAAACATGTGTATGATATTTATTTATTCTGATAGTTAAAAGAAAAACCAAGAGTTTATATTCATTTTGAAAAAGCTGCCGCATGATACGATGTACCACTTGTGCCAGTCTTGCTTTCTGTATAGTTAGTGCCTGTTTTCATACTCCGCTAATAAAAAAAAATGCAAGGGAAAAATGCTTTTTTGCCCCTCGCAAGTCATTCAGTAAAAGTGATTTGCGCGGATCGACAGAAATAGAGATGGCGAGCAGCCTGAATTGTTTTGTGCCGGTTTTGTGGCGATTTCGGCTGATTAGCATCATGATTATGCCAAGGTTGTTACACGGAGGAGGGAGAAAAATTGTTCTCTTTAACCTCTGAGGATAGGACAAGAAGCAATGGGCTTAAATTGCATCAAGGGCGGTTTAGGTTGGACATTAGGAAAAACTTCCTGTCAGGGTGGTTAAGCCCTGGCACAAATTGCCTAGGGAGGTTGCGGAATCTCCATCATCATAGGCGCCAACTTTCCCCAGTGCCAGTGGGTGCTCACACTCCCCTGGCCCCACCCTGACTCCACCCTTGCCCTGCCCCTGCCCCGCCCCATTCCAACCCCTTCCCCAAATCCCCGGCCCCAACTCTGCCCCGAGTGCCCTGTGTTCCCCCTCCTCCCCGCCGCATGAAACAGTTGTTTCGCAGCGCAAGTGCTGTGAGCTGGGGGGGGAAGCCGATACATGGCGCACTCAGGGGAGGAGGCGGAGCAGAGGTGGAGGTGAGCTGGGCGGGGGGGCGGGGAGCTGCCGGTGGGTGCTGAGCACCCACCAATTTTTCCCGGTGGGTGCTCCAGCCCCAGAGCACCCACGGAGTTGGCGCCTATATCCATCATTGGAGATTTTAAAGAGCAGGTTAGACAAACACCTGTCAGGGATGATTTAGATACTACTTAGTCCTGCCATGAGTGCAGGGAACTGGAGTAGATGACCTCTCAAGGTCCCTTTCTATGGTTCTATGATTATTGTTTATGGGGAAATTTCCTAATGCAGAAGAGCTTAGACATGATAAAAAGCCCCATAGCTGAGTCAATTAGGAGACCAGACCAGACAAAATCCTAGAGAACACAGAGTAGGGAACCTTCATGGGCAGTTGGGTATGGAATAGACAACTGCAGTCGGGCCACCATTCATTTTGCTCTCTCTTGTAGCCAGAGGTGTTTCCACAGGGCTCTCTGTCTGCCCCCTCTCTGTCTGCCCCATAGGAGTGCTGTACAGTCTCTCTCAGGGTTGTCATCAGCCATCCCTGGAAACTGAGTCAGTAGCCCAAAGTAATTCAAAATAGTCCTCCGCGTCCCAAACATTCTAGCAGCCCCATAGCTTGGGCCCATCTCCACCGCGCTGGTTGACTGCAGAGCCTTGATTCTATCTAGCAGAAGCCCAGCATTCCGGCTCTGCCTTCCTTCCTCGGTCAGCACGCACCCAGTTCTAAGAGACAGCATGCGATGTCACGCTGTGCAGTGGGTACCATTTTGGTTTCTCTATGAGTGCCAAAACGGTGTTCCGGCCCCTTTGCCCAGGACCACCTCTTCTCTTCCAGTTTCGGGCAGCTCCTGAGCTCATGCTTACACCAACATCCCTGGGACAGGGTCTTCTGCCCCAGCCTTTAGTCTTTAAGGGCCGGTACACCCCATCACACCAACCTAACTGGTTATTTCCAGCTGCAATGTCTCAGAATCACTGTTTCTAACACACTGGGGTCCTCTTCAGTTGAATGACAAGAAAGCTTTATTGTACCAACGGATTTAGGCTACACCAGGTACATGGCTGGTTCAGTGGACTTGCCTCTCAGAGTAAAGGAGGAACCTGTTCCTAGGGCAGCAAAACAACACGCTCTTTCTTGTTCCAGGCAAAGTCACAGTTTAGCACAAAGAGTGACAAATGATGGTTGGTGGCAAGTCTCAGGGAAGCGATGAAGAAATCTTTATAAAACTCTCTCTGTTATTAACACTGGGTTCATTTGGACAAGGAGACCAATCTATCTTGCCACTGAAAAATGTACAGATGGTGTGCAGCGAGCAGCGACACACCCACCCTATTTGTGAGTTAAAAAACCTAATCCAATGCCCAATTAATTCAATGGAAAGACTCATTTTTCCAAACTTTTTCTGACTAAATTTGCCAACATTCAAGTTTTCAATTAAACTTTATTTTTGAATAAAAAAAACCTGACCAAACTTTCACAAATATCTTTGTCCTCATTTTCAAAACATTTTGAAATTTTCAGAAAAGATATTGAAATTTTGGCAAAGAAATGCAAATAATTATGTCATAATAAATAATTACTAGCTAGCTCCTATAGCATTTTCATCCATAGATTTCAAAGGGTTTTATAGAGGTCAGGATCATTATCCCCGTTTTACATATGGAGAAACTGAGGCA